AAGCTGATCTTGAACTGCAGATAAGATAAGGGATTATCTTTATCACTTAAAGAGTCCAGATCCAAATAAAGATTTGGATCAGGAAACTCCTAATTAGATTAGGAGGTTGTCTCTTTAAGGCTATAAATAAGAGAGCAGGGCAGACATGAAAAAGACACTAGATACAAGACAGCAATCTGTAGAGTTCTTCCTTGTTCTTGCCGCCCCGACCTAGTTCGACCTCCACTTGTGGGAGTGATCAAGAATTGTTCTTGATATTGCTTCTTGGTAAAATAAGCAATTTGAAGTCGTGCTCACCAGCCCTCTACTCCATTCTTGCTGAATAATTCGGTTCTTGCTTCGTCCTGCTGATCCTGCTTCACTTCACACTGTGTCATCTTCAATGGAAGCAAGTTTTGGTTATCTCCTTGGGTGTGAACACCTTCATTGGGAGTTACTGCTACTTTGTATCAAGTATATCCCTCTCCTCCCTTTTGGTTTCAGATCTGATCTGGTTTGGTTCAAGATTGATCATTGAAAATGCAGTTTTCTAAAATAAGGAATGCGACTCCCATATGGGATAGAGAGAAATTTTTGGAATTTCGCCCAACCTTCCTACAGGTTTTGGCCATCCATATGATGGATCTCTCATCCCTTCAAGTTGAACTTCCAAACAATTTGGAAAGCTTGTTTATTGGCAGAAGAGCAAGGTTGGAGGAGTATAATCATTTGGTTAGATGCTAAAGCTGTTGTGGACTCACTGAATAGGGAAAGTTGTGAGATCCCTTAATTTTTGGAAAACTAGGTTGATTTTATATTTAGGGATTATAGCAGATAAGGGATTAGTCATAAATAATCTCTTATATTTATGAGTCTAAATTTCTTTTCTGTTGTTAAGTTTGTTTATACGCCTTCTGCTTTTATTGCATCTTCTCACTTTTAGCTCAATGGGCCAAAACATCTAGAGACTTTTGCTTCCATGGTCCCCATTTTCCTTCTGTTGTATACTCTTTTTTTTTTCATTTTAAGAATTAAAGATCATTTTGAAGGGATGGGATATCCATCATATGGACGCCCAAATCTTGTGGAATGGATCGGGCAAATTTCAAAAATTTCTCCCATCTCTGCTGGGAATCGAATTTCGTATTTTAGAAAAACATATTTTTCAAGGATCAATCTTGAACCAAGAACCAAAACAGATCTGAACCAAAAGGAGTAGGAGAGAGGTGTACTTGATATAGAGAAATACTTTTTCTCAATGGAGGTGTTCACGCCCAAGGAAGGAATCAAAATATGCTCCCACTGAATATGGCGCAGTGCAGGATGGAGCAGAATCAGCAGCGTTCTCCAAGAACCTGATCCTTCGCAAGAATCAGCAGGATGGCACGTGAGTACAGCTCCCAATCAATCTTTTCCCAAAAGATTGATATCAAGATCAAATCTTGATTTCTCCCAAGAATTTGGAGATCGAACTGGGGTTATGGCGACGGCAAGAAGGAAGCGACAAGAAAAAATTTCTACAAATGTTGCATAAATCTTTCTTCTGTGATTTCAGCTCTGAAGACTAGAGATCTTGAGGTCTTGCATGTCTAAAGGCTGCCGCCCCCTCCTCCTTTTATAGGCTTAAAGGAATAAGCTCCTAATCCCATTAGGATTTGCTGATCCAAATCATATTTGGATCAGAAATCCCTTTAAGTGATAAGGGAGAACCCTTATCTTATCTGCAGATCATATCAACCTTCTCCTAATCTTATTAGGAGGCTTCCAGATCTAAGTCTTATTTAGATCTTGGACTCTCTAAGTGGATAGGGTCAAGGCCCAATCCTATCAGCTGATCCATTCCAGAATTCGCCCCTTAATTAACTGATCAAATCAGCCTAGTTCGAAATGGGCTTTAGGCCCATTTAAGGTTATGTACTCAGTTAGCCTTCCAAACTGCTGCCCAGTTGGGTTTCCTTGTATGGCGTGAGACCCAAACATTGATCTACACATCAGCCACATGGGTTCAGCCCAGCCTTTGTTACAAGGCCTGGCCGAATACACTGTTATGGACAGTGCACCCCCTGAAACCCATCTCATGGGCTCTATGGGCTCAACACTTACCCTAAGTGGTCCCTAGGCCAAGCCACCTTGTAACACCCAGGGACTGTGGGTAGATGCAAGATTAGCCCATCAGGTATTACTCTCAATGGTCTTACACTTAACCTCTCAGCCCATAATGATCAAACACTGCTCGACAAGAGAGGACCTCTCCCTCGGCTGCAAGGAACAATGTTGCACTCTCTATTCACATGGATCCCAAGAATTAAAACCTTTTGCAAATCATTTCGAAATCATAACATATATATATATATATATATATATATATATTGCAAAAACAAAATCTCAACAATTGAAATCGGCTGCCAGCAGTCTTGGTTTCCATCAGAGAGAGTGCATTCCCGATCATTACCTTTGTCTGACAAAGGGGCTGATCCTGTCACTATGATCACCCACTTAGATGAATTCTCGGACTGTCCCAACATACCCAGGTTTTGACCCCCGCTAAGGATCTCACTGATTGGTACATCAAAGACAGCCCAATCCGACACCTAGTGTAGTATCATAATCGAGTCTAGGGGTCAGGTGTAACTTTCCAGTTTTGCCCATCTATCTCCAAGGTCCAGGGCAATACTGAAAATCTGGTCCGGTTCAAAGGTTCTATTAATCCTACACTGCATGTGCTTCGGGTCTCACCCTGGTGGCTGAGACAAGCCACCCCAATAGTTGGCAGCACACCAGTGCTACCCTTGATAGGATAAATTTCCCCAGACTTACCCAATGGCCGTGAACATTCTAAACTAACACGAGTCTCATTAAGTGTTCAGTTTAAGGCTATTATACAAAAACACACCATAGGAACATGAATCAAATGTGTACTTTATTCATTTATAATAACTTCATAAGTTACATCTTTCTAATTGAAGCTAAGGGCATACAACTGTCTAACACTATGAATCCTATACTGCATGTGCTTCGGGTCTCACCCTGGTGGCTGAGACAAGCCACCCCAATAGTTGGCAGCACACCAGTTTCAGCCTTGGCAGAATAAGTCTCCCTAGACTTACCCAACGGCTGTGAACATTCTAAACTACCACGAGTCTCATTAAGTGTCAAGTTTAAGGGTATTACACAGAAACACACCACTGGAACATGAATCAAATATATACTTTATTCATTTACAATAAATTCATAAGGTACATCAGTCTATTTGGAGCTAAGGGCATACAACTGTCTAACACATTTATCCACCAAAAAAAAGTACAGACAAAACACATAGGAGTGAAAGTCGAATGGGCTGGTTTGGATTTTATGTCAACCAAAGCCCAACCTTAAAAATTGGGCCTAAGGTCTAAGCCCAAACCGAACCAATAATCAAGTCCAAGCTGCTCATTCCAGGCTCAGCCCACATTCAACGCAAACCCAAGCTGAAATTTGCTTGGATCCATTTATCCATTTAAACAATTAAGATGCGAATTCAAGGAATAAACAAGAACCCAATAGGGTTGGGTCAATTCCAGTTAGAGGAGATCATGGAGTGCTTAAGAATCAAAAGATGTAATATCAATGGTATGAAAATCTCCTACGATAATGGAATTGCTCATAAAATTGTTCAATTTTCTATTTGTAATAACAAAGCCATGATATGGTCTTCCACTCCTGAATTCCTTCAGTTATTTGTTGTATATTACATAGAATGGAGAAACTAAGTAATTCATCTTCAGGAACGAGAAATTTTGTATCATCCACTGATAGAAGGATGCTTTGGAATTAATAGTTACATTCCCTAAGCCGAGATTGAAAATAGACATTTTATTATAGCTATCAAGTCTGAGCCGTATAGTAGAACACAATTTCACAAGTCAACAAGAAAGATGGCCATTTCAGCACCTATTCTGAGCAATCATCTCCAATGCACTATCCAGTGATACTGCCAGATGATCATTCATACTACTATCATATATAACATTACTATGATGGAGATCTGATGGTTCACCAAGCAAACATTCTGCCTCTTGAGAATCATGTTCTATCATTGGAAGTACGACCCTTCTAAATCTTTCTAGCTCAATTTCTACTTCCTTCATTGTTGGTCTTTCTTCTTGATTCACGTTTAAACATCTCTTTGCAAGCTCAGTTACCTCTTGAAGTTGATCTTCACTACTCTCATGCATTACTTGTTCCTCCAAAATTTTGTGGATGTTGTTCTCTTTCACCAAACTAACAAAATGCCTGGCAAGATTTCTCTCTTCTTCAGGTCTATCAAAGGAGAGTGCCTGCCTTCCTGTTAATAGCTCTGCAAGAACCACTCCAAAGCTATAAACATCGCTCTTCTCTGACAATTGATTTGTATGAAAGTATTCTGGGTCCAAGTATCCCAAAGTTCCTTGTACCAATGTAGTAATCTGAGTTTGATCTGATGGAATCAGTTTTGAAGCTCCAAAATCTGATACTTTTGTTGTATAGTTATTATCCAAGAGTACATTGACAGACTTAACATCTCTATGAATGATTGGTGGGGAAGCTGTAGAATGTAAATAAGCAAGAGCAGATGCTATTTCTGCTGCTATCCTTGAACGATCTTCCCAAGATAGTGTAAACTTGTGTCCTTCATTGTGGATATGGTGAAATAAAGTTCCATTGCTTATGAACTCATAAACTAACAATGGAACTTCAGTCTCTAAGCAACAACCCAGAAGTTTCACTACATTTCTATGGTTAATTTGCGAGAGAATGACCATCTCATTGATAAATTGCTCAACCTGACTTTGATCAATTATTTTGGATTTCTTGACTGCAACTTCCCTATCATCAGGTAAAATTCCTTTATACACTGTGCCATTGCCTCCCTGACCAAGAATTCTATCCACGTTGTAGTTGTCTGTTGCTTTTCTAAGCTCATCTACGGTGAAGATTTTGATAACTTCGGTAGGACCATTACGTGAGGAAAGATGTTGCTTTAATAGAAGGCCACCATTTTGTTGGAAGAATTTCTCCTTCAATTTATAAAGCCTTCTCTTATGGAAACCCCAGTGCAGCCAGAAGCCACCAATTAGGAAGATGATGCCAGAGCTAATACCTATAACAGCAAGATAAATTTCATTAATAACAAGAACATTAAACATTGTATCTGTCAATGATAGAAATTGTTCTAACAATTCATTTTTCTCTCATTTAACGGGTGAAGGCAATGTTTTAGTTGGCTAGAAATAGCAATTCAATGCTTGGTTTACTACTTTACTTGGACAAACCCAGTATAATTACTTTTGTCTTGGAAAGACTCACGACTCACGAGCAAGAGAAGAAAAGAACACTCCAGATTTCCTGCCCATAACTCTCTACCACATTCTACTTGCCTTGAATTGCAACCATACATCGCCATTTTGTATGTGAGATGTACAGCTGCAGTGCATTATGCGTAGGGCGTGGGTAGAGAAAATGAGTAGGAAATCTTCTGGTATGCCACTTCCAAGACGAGGTCCTCGACTGTCCTCATTTTCTCGGGCTCGTCCTCGTTTAGGAGTATCGAGACGAGGTCCTCGGCTGGTTGGCCTCGGTTTGTTGGTTTGTCCCTAAGGTTGAGGCCTCCCAATGGCAAAACTTCCCTATTCTTTCCCTTCAGTGCCATCACATAGCACTATCGATCTGCTTGTTGGTTCTCACGAACGACTCTGATGCCGTGCTCGGTGGGAAACTTCATAACGACGTGGTAGGAGGAGATAGCTGCCTTGAGGGCGTGAAGAGTCAGCCTCCCGATGATGGCATTGTAGGGGGGCCAATCCTCACAGCTAGGAACTCCATCATCCTCATCACATGCCGAGGTTCTGTCCCTACGGTAAGGGGTAGGGTGATCTTCCCCTTCGGTTTGACTATGTTCCCGGAGAATCCGACGAGTAGCACATTGGCCGACTGAAGGCATTCCAGCCTGAACTTCATCTTTTCAAAGGCCTCATAAAAGAGGATAACCACTGATGAGCGACTATCGACCAGTATCCTCTTCACCATAAAGTTGGCGATGGTCACCGACACCACTAATGCTTCGTCATTGGGGACTAACACCCCCTTCAGGTCCTCATCTGTGAAGGTGAGAGCTTTGTTCTGCTTCGTCTTCTTGGGAACCGGCGCCTGGATGTTGAGCTGCCTGGCATAGGCTTTACGGGCCAAGGCCGAGGTGCCACCCGAGGCCGAGCCTCGGCGATGACTCCTGCTAGTTGTTGTGGCTACTGTTGTTGCTGTGAGGATGAGGCATGGCATCGCCCCCCACATACTCCTTGAGGTGACTATAGTGAATGAGGGACTTGATTTCGTTATTGAGGTCATAATAGTCCTCGGTGTCATGGCTGATGCCGCGATGGTACTTGCAATATTTCTTCGAGTTACCCCGCTTGGGGTTCTGCTTCATCTTCTCTAGCCACTTCATATACTCTTCTTTCTTTACTTGCATTAGAATTTGTATTTGGTTGGAGTTGAGTGGCGTGTACTTGTAGTATGTTAAGGCCAGTAGCTTCTTGTTGCCATCCTTGTTGCTGTTGTTGTTGTTGCCGCGACCGTCTCCATTCTTCCTTTTCTTCTCCGACCCTTTGTGGTTGTGATCGACTTCTCCTTCTTGGCATTCGCCGGTCGAGGACTCCTTGGCGGCGATTTACTTCTGGGCTTTCTTCAAAAATTCTGCCTTGGTTTTGGGTGGTATCTTCACTGTAGAGCATTCGAGGGTTGACCGCGGAAGGAGGCCGTTGATAGCTGTGTGCACGAAGACCATTGGATTGAGGTCTAAGACCTTGAGCTCTTCCTTCTTAAAGCGGTCAATTTAGGACCGTAGACTCTCCTCTCTCTTCTATGGAACAGACATTAACGAGACGACGCTCTTCTGGCACCATCAGTTGCTGATGAAGTGGGTGGGGAATAAACTTGGAAACTGCTCTCACGAGCTAATAGAACGCGGTGGGTGTCTAGAGAACAATCGGTTGGCTACCACCCTTGAAAGTCGCTTGGAAATCCCAGCATGTCAAGGCGTCGGAATATCCATAGAGGAGCATGAGCGCTCTAAAGCTTTCCATGTGATCATCCGGATCTGTAGTTCCGCCGTACATTTACAAGGTGGGGGCTTTGAAGTGGGGAGGGTTCTGAGGTGATGTCGTCGGTAAAGGCGTCCATCTTGGTGGACAAGGGATTCTAGCTTGCTAAGGCGTCACCTCAACCCTCCTTTACCTATCGAAGTTCGCATTGCATGGCACCGATCTGTGCCTCAAGGTCAACAATCCTCTGGTCAACGGGAGCTTGGGCTTCGTCCTAGTTTTCTCAAACACGGAATGGGTTGGCCCGATTCCCTAGGTACTTTGGTGCGGGCACGTCTTGAATCCTTTTGGCCCATTGATCATTGATGATCTCCCGAAGGTCTAAAGCATGTGAGGGAGAGGCACGACATCAGTCCCCAACCCTCAAAGGAGGACTATAGTTACCTAAGTGCACACCTTCGTCCTAGGAGCTTTCCACTCAATAGTTGCGTTCATGGTCCCAGCGCTAGTCGCAGGACCTTGCTAGATCTCCTCCCCTTCAGCTTGGGAGGTGGGAGGTTCTCGACAACTGACTAGCGCATCGGTAACTGCCATGGGACCCTAAGGGGTTGGCTCCGTGGGGTCTAACTAGGCTCCTAGCTAGAGAGCTTGGGAGGAGTGCTTGTTGTGGTGCCCCAGGCTTTCAACGGGGCAACCACCATGTCGACTGCCTCCTGTCGGTTGCACCACCTCGTCCAAACACTAGGTGATGTTGTTGAGCCGGTTGAGGACCATCTAAAACTAGTCCATGGTGGCAAGGTTCTGAGCGTTTTGCTGATTATCTTGGTTCTTAGCCATTACATTGGAAGTTAAGTGATTATGTTTTGAAGTAAGAGTTCACTTGAGGGAAGTCTTAGCAGTCGTTCCCACAAACGATGTCAATTTTTATTGCTTGGAATGGGCCAAGGGCAACAATGTAAATTTACTTCCGAGGTGAGGGCTGGTTGAAGAGTCCGAGGGCTGGTAAAACCGAGGGATGTAAGTCTGACCAGTGAAGGAAGAAGCACGTCAGAGGCCTCTGGTGTTATCCCAGGGGTGGAGACAACGATGACCAAATTAGCAAGTGCGTAGCACAAAAGGTAGAACAAGGCCTGAGTGAGATAGCTCATACGAGGTTACCAAGAAGCCAAAGAGCTGAGAGCAATAAATGCCAAGATATCTAACCTAGGAAGTGATGCCACTTATTTATACTTGAACATGCTTGGAGTTAGTTACAAGCGAACGACTAGGATGTGATCTACCCTGAGCCGCACGCCACCATTTGAGGAAGCCATGTGTGCATGCACCATTGGGCCTACCATGTGCGCCTACATCACTACCCTCATGGCTGCCTCCGCTCAGCTCTCCTCTTTTGGTGTGACCCTCTTTTGAACCCATCTCTTTACAGAAGCCTTGTTGGGGCCTTGCAATACATCACTCTATTGTGCTCCAAACTCTCCTACTCTGTTAACAAGGTGTGCCAATTCCTCAAGGAACCTACTACTAAACTCTTGGTTGTTTTGAAATGCATTCTTCATAATTCATGGTTTTCTTTTCCATCCCTCTCATTCATTCTTGTTGACTGTGTTCTCTGACATTGATTGGGTTGGTTTCCCTATTGATAGATGTTTACAATATTTTTCCAAAGTGATTTGTTGTTTTGGTTGTGTGTAGTTTCCTTATTTGTTTGGTAGTTTAGTTTGTTTTTGTTGCTTTCTTGTTTGTATTTGTTGGAATCGGAGTTGTTGTTGGTGTTTGGTTGCTCCGTTCTGTTTAATGAAGTTTCTTGACTATCTATACTACTTATAAAAGTGTGAATGAGGAGGTATTGGCTTATGGAATTTTTCTTTACAGAAATACCCCTCTTCTTGAATTTAGTTCATCTCCATTGAAAGGGCAAAAAATGTAATTAAAAAAATACCATTAAGTACATTCAATTACCTCTCATTAAATCTCACATTTAAGTCATTAAATAAATCACATTCTCTCTCATTGAATCCAACATTTATACTTTTGCTTATCATCATTACACTAATAAATGCAAACACAATAATTATTAATAGAATGAAATTTTATATTTTTAAAATAAAGATAGAATCACCCAAGTGACAGGTTTTTCAAAAAAATCACTCCCTTTTATGTATCTAGGAGCCCCAATTGGAAGGAAGAAATTAAGAATAAGGGACTTTGATCCTCTAATTGGCAAAATAAGAAAGAGGTTAGAAGGCTGGAAAACAAAATTACTAACTCTTGGAGGCAAGTTTACTCTTATTCGGAGTGTGCTTCAAAGCATGACCATTCATGTTTTGAGTACAACAAGTCCCCCTAAGAAAGTAATTCATAGTATTTCACAAAATTTTCGCCCAATTTCTATGGGGAGACTCTAAGTACGGGCCAAAGCACCACTGAATAAATTGGGAAAGAATCTGTAAACTTGTGGAGAAGGGTGGATTGGGGATCAGGTCTTTATTTGAGATCATCAAAGCTTTACGAATGAAAGCTTGTTTCAAGCTAATCCAAAATAACTCTAGTTGGGCAAATTTCTTCCATTCAAGATATCTGAATGACATGCCTCTTGGCCTTATATCAAATCATATATCTTCATCAAAATTCTGGAAAGAAATTTGTGAAGTTAGTGACCAGACTACAATGAATAGCGAATGGATTGTGGGCCGAGGAAATGTTTCTTTTTGGTACCACAATTGGACTGACAAGGGTCTCCTTTTGGACTTAATGATTCTAGAGGATATAATTGTTTTCAAAGTCTGCAATGTTATCACCGAGGATGGTTCATGGAATTTCCCAGATTCTTTCAATGTTAATAAGAACATCTAAGAAATTGCTATAAACTCGGAGGTTGTAATTTCAGAAGCAAATGACAGGCTAGTTTGGATTTGTACAAATAGTGGAAATTTCATAGTTGGATTTGCTTGGAATCCCATCCATTCACAGGGTAATCAAGTAAATTGGTCAAGGAATGTTTGGAATTCAGGTATCCCCACCAAGATCTCCATGTTTATGTGGCGTTTTCTTAATAAAGCAATCCCAGTGGACACGACTATCAAACAAAAAAGGGATAATGCTAAGCCTCTAAATGCAGGTGTTGTAGAGATGCTAACGGAGAATCATTTGATCACCTTTTTTCTAATGGAATCTTAGTTACAAAATGCTGGAAGTTTTTTGCAGAAAAATTTGGCATTCCTATTCACTCCATGCAACACATTAGAGATCGTATCCTAGATTGGTGGAGTATTTGCAACATTAACTCCCATCGTAACCAAGTTCTTAGGGTGCTACCTTTGGTGATCCTTTGGAAAATTTGGGTGGAAAGGTGTAGAAGAATCTATGATGATAACTCTATCCCCGCAAACTAGGTAATCCAACGTATCATAAATTGGTTGGTTGAAATTGATAAAGTTATTTCATTACCCACTATTGAAGACGCAAATGATTGGTGGAGGACTGGTTTCCCAATTCCCCCCAAGCCCATCAAACCAAAACTGTACAAATGGGTAATGTGGCAAGCTCCTTTACGTGGAAAGGTTAAACTAAATACCGATGGGGCTTGTCGAACAAACCCAAGTATAGGAAGTGAGGGAGGACTGATTCGTGATGAGGAGGGCAGATTTATCAAAGTTTTCGCAAGCCCTTATGGTTTCTACACTTCCCTTCAAGCAGAAATAAAGGCGTTGCGTGGTGGAGTTAAGACTTGTATAAACCATGGCTATCTTAATATTGAGATTGAATGTCATAACTTTGTAGTGGTAAGCCTTTTCAATTCAACCGTTATTCCATGGAGTATTCATTACTATGTAGTAGAAATTAAAAGGCTTCTTGACTTCTACAACTTCTCATTAAACAATGTGTACCGTGAAGCAAATAGACCGGCAGATTGCTTAGCTAAAATGGGCGGATTGTTGGAAGAATTCACCAGTTTCAACGCCATTTCACATACCCTAGATCAGGTAAGAAAGTTAATTTTTGAAGATTTTATAGGTCTGCCCAATTTAAGAGTTAGATAATCTTTTTGTATTTTTCCTTTGGGTTGGGCTGAGAGATTTAGGTTGAGGGATTTGTATCTTGGGATTGGGGTAAGACGGGCTAAGTCCTCCCCTGTAATATCTATTTTTATATTTGATAATGATTAATAAAATTTAAGGTGGCTGCTCCTCCACCTGGAGTAAATTTTGGGGTTAAAAAAAATAAACATAGAAACGAAATCATATTTTTCATCTAAGTGGTGGGTAAGTAGTTCAACCATTTGGGTCAAATAGATAATTTCATGATGTCCTAAATAAATAATACGAATTTAGAAATATAAAAATACAAAAAATATAGAAAAAATATGAAAAAAATTGGACACGTTTCTATTATTATATATTTGTCATATTAAAAATAACTATGATAAAATAGACATAATTTTATTAATGATGGACATCAAATATACAACTTAAAACCGATTGGAAATTAAACCATCTTCCTATCTACGGGATGGGTTAGTGGTTCATCCTTTCAGGTCAAATAGGTTAATCCATGATGAATAATTAAAAATAAATTTTTAAAATAGGATAGTACAAAAATATGAAACAATTTTGGGCACATCTATAATATTATATACTAATAATATAAACAAAAGTATGATAAATAATAATTATTTTATCAATGATATAAATGAAATGCAAAATATAAACCGGTTTGAAAATGAAACCATTTCCATATTTAGATTGTAGGTAAGTCAATGATCTAACATTCTAGGTCAAATGGGTCAATCTATGATGTCATAACTAACTAACGAATATTAAATACATACATATAAACTCAAAGAAAAATATAAGCTTTGTATAAAGCATTTGCTACAATTCTATTGTAATATATTCATCAAATTAAATAAAAATAAATGTGAAAATAAGAATTACTTTTATCGATGATGAAAATGGAATACATGATTTAAAATCAACCGAAAAAGCAAAATAGGTTTTCTATCCAAGTGGTGTGTTAGTGGTTAAACTATCCATGTCAAATGGATATTATTAAATAATAAAATACATAAAATTCTATAAAATGTAGAAATTTATCAATAATTTTGGGTTCATTCTATAATATTATATATTCATCATATAAAAAAAAGTGTGATTAATGAGAATTATTTTCATGAGTGATAGAAATGTGATAAAAATTAGGATAAAAAATAAAGAGCATTAATTTCTAACACATGACCCGACTAACCATGTCAAATGGTTTAATAATTTCATTAGCCAGGTCATTGTAGGCAACTGGTTTGGTAGGGATGCAAACAGATCAGATTCAGATCATATTTGAATTTGGGTATATTCAAATCTAATCTGATCCAAAGATTCGACTAGATCGCATAAATATTGATTCGAATCCGAATCCAATCAAGATGTTGGATATTCGAATCTAATACGATCTGATTTCATTTTTTTAAAAAAGTAATAAATTATTAAAAAAAAGAAAAATATAATAGTTGAAATAAAAAACAAAAAATATAAGTATTTCCTCAACTATTTCCATCATATAAAAGTTTACAAAAATGCAATATAAATAATATATTTATAAATAAATAATAAATAACATATATATTATATATAAATAATATATACTATATATAAATAATTTATTTGACCACAATATTAAAAACCAATGTTCAAACAATATATTGGAGTTGCATTTTCTCTTGGTAAATAGGTAATTTTATTATCTCATAAATTAAATAATAAAAAATACAAATATAGAAATTTTTATAAATTTTATAAGAAAATTTGGACAGACATTAATATTATATATTCTTCATATTAAACAAAATATGTTTGAAAAATGAGAATTATTGTTAGTAAAGATAGAAATGGCTAAAATACAAAGAAAAAAAATGAATTAATGTCTTAATCATAGTCCATTTTCCTGGTTAAATAGGTTAACAATTCAACAGTAAGGTCCTTTAATTATTGATTATAAAGTAAAATACAAAGAGATCCTATCTACCAACGTTTGGACACCACTTGACTCCCAAGAATTTCTAAATTATAAAGTAAATTTTTATGGATCCTAACCTCTCTTGGGCCAAAGGTGCTTTTCAAGAGGTCTCAAATGGATTTCTCTGGGACCACCACTGGAACCTGAGAGTCTGAGACTTAGGTCCCTCCCTGAGAGTCTGAGACTTTCCCAATTCTTCTGTTTTCTAAAGATTTTGGAGTTGATACACAAGTGTGTATCATCGACCTACCAATTGAAAGATAAAGGATCGACGTACCTAAATCGGTTCACTAATAGATGTGAGAAAAAGCAGGGGATTACCTATTACCCAAGGAATATATCTTTCAACCTCATTTTCCTTCATACAGCCAACTCCAATTTTCTTCCCATCGCCGTGATAACCAKGTGGACAGGAGCAACTATAATTCCCAGGTCCATTTACACAAGTCCATCCGCAATCGTTGGTCTTTGTGTCCGCGCATTCATCAATATCTGAAAATACATACAACCAAAAGGAAGATATATAGCGGTGACTTCCTTMAGCTCAATCTATCTATTTACTATTTCAAACACAGGAAAATTAACACAAACTGATTCATCAACTCTTCTACGCACTGGGGGATAAAGAAAAAGATCCTACCATGGCAACCTTGTSGAAGATAAGGATTCCCCTCATAGCCGCGGTTACAGAAACAAGCATATCCATCTCCAGAGGTGACATTCCTGCAGTAGGAATTGGGGCCACAGTTGGACGAGGGATTAGCGGTCTCACAGGTCCCATTCCCAATAACCCAATCCAGCACCACTGGGCGCTCCGCCGTAGGGTTTTCCCTATATGCGGTAACATTAAAATCATTCCCGAGCCACTCCTTGTCAGCTATGAAAGCGTACGCGGTGTCATTTAAAGCTGTCTCACGACTTGATTGCAGTTCGAGGTACTGAAGGAGCGGCAAGATAGAAGTCTGGCAACAACCATAACCACCGTTGCAACCAGTTGGTGCGATCCTAACGCGTTTATTGACCTCAACGGTTCCGGACATKAATATACAAGYTGACAGGCAGCCTCCGACGCGTATACCACCACTTATCATGTAGCCAAGGATATCGCAACCCACAGTCGTGAATACGTTACGGTCTTGTGATAGGTAGAAGGGAGTGCCTATCAAGTTGAGAAAGTAGTTACTTTCATTTTCACTAGCATTGAAAAGCCAGAGTCTGTCGGTAATGATCTTAACTTTGTTTTCAGGCAATATTTCTACCACCTCCGAAGCTGGAGGAAGCCCAATGCTAATAGTGGGGGTATAACCGGCGGCGGCAGTCGAATCACAAGAAACTTCGAACGAGGAGTTTTTGGAACAGTTAGATCCAATACCGAACGGATAGGGAATACTGACGTTGCCGCATTTGTCCTGACACCCAGGTAATGCCAGAGATGATGATGCTGCTGCTACTTCATCCTTTAGCAATACAAGTAATAAAGACAAAGAGATGAACTGAAGCGTCGGCCGTTGGGCTCCTCCATTTCTCGCGATTCTTCCAGGTTTGCAGAAGTGATGCGGGAGATACCAGGGGGTAAAGCAAATAAGCAATAGAAATTTCTCAGCAGTTGTGGCCAAGCCATATTCTATCATCAACTTGCTATAATCTATTAAAGGGTTTCTTGCGTTGATACACAGACATTGACCATCCAAATGAACAAGTCATCGACGTTTGATAACATGGAATGCAACTCTGTACATCTTGAAGATTGTGAAACAATGCTACCGAGTATCGTCACGCCTTACGTCACGGAGGCATTGTTTATATCTGGTGTATAAATGAATCCGTATGCATCGTTTCTCAGAGTTTGGATCTGCTGCTCCTCATTGTGGGTTAAGTACACTGATCGGGATCTCCTCCTCGTGCGTTACATCCCACCGTGCATTGAGAACATTTCCCGTAAATAATAACACATAAGTGTAGGAGATGTTCCCAATGCACGGTGGAACGTACTTGTCAGGTTGGTATGAGAGGTTTCATGTATGAGAAGCAAATATAGTTTCTAATTACACTGCAGTTCAATGCAGAATTCTGAATTACAACCACTCATAATCTACTAGTTGCCCCTATAAATCACATTCTACCCATGGATTTGGCATCAATCCATGGTTAGGATTCATCCTCTCTATACTGTGGAGTTAAAAAATTCTGATCTGAACTGATTAATCATTCTCCCAGTTTTTAAATGAAAAAATGTTTCAGATGCATGGTTGAAACATACTATAAGGTTGGTGTGAGATGCACTCTGTGAAGAGCAGATCCCATCTCTGTTTCTCAAACCAACCTTTACGTCCATGCAGCCACACATGGGATGTGCTATGAGATTGGTGGTAGGAACACAATGTGAGGAGCAAATCCAGGTTAATTCCAATTGGCTCATTCTAGTGTCATGGTATAACCATTTTATCAGTCAAGAGGGAAGATTTGTTATCCATAATCCAATTCATCTTGGTAGTAATGGAGAGTTTTGTATCTCCATAATCCAATTCTCAGAGTTCCAATTGGGCCTTCTTATGAACAGCCCTAGTTCTCGTGGTAGTAATGGAGAGTTTTGTATCTCCCCTCCCTAATTTAGCGTTATCTACTGTAAAACGAAACATGCGATCACCTTCTGCGAAATCTCTTATTTCAAGTCTTTTATAGTATAAAATCTTTATAAAAATATAAGAATAAAGGAGAAATAAGGAATAATGATTGAAAAAAGTTGTGGCCCATTCAAAACAAACGAACCTGATTCCGACTGCAACTAACAATGGTTTTCATTTCTAATATCGAAAGACTAATCTAAAGCTATATAATCCATCTTGATATTGTGGTGCACAACAGTTGTTTATGTCAGAAGGTAAGCCCATTGGGATCTGGATTACACCAAAATATAGAATGCAATATTTCAGTATTCTTTTCAGTGCCTCTCTCTCTCTCTCTCTCTCTCTTAATCAAACCAAACATAGATGTGTGCCTAATAGAAAATGAAAGACAAATGGGAAAATACTCAACCGCAGCCTTGGGTTGTTCAAAGACAATGAGATCTAGAACTTGTTAGAATAAAGAAGCAAGGACTATTGATGTTGAAGACAATCCAAGTCAAATTAGCCACGTGGCTATGCTTGATTTGATAGAGGGAAACAAAAAGTTGAGGGAAAGTTCTTAAAAATATATGTTCCCTCAACTTTCTATTTTTAAACCAAAGACAGCCTAAAAACATCGACTGTAGAAAGAGGATTAGGGAATAGGATAATGGTGGACTGGATGGGCACAATAAGTATAAACAACGTTTTCTTTTCCTTTTTTTTTTGGGTGTTTTTCGATGTTGACACCAAGTTATGGAAGAGATAAATTGCATACTCAACTTTGGTTTGGGCTGCAAAGTGGAACGAGTTGGGCAGGTTTAAGGTCAATGCAGGTGCAACCCAACGAATTGAACCTAGGGCTCGAATTTAGGCCCAGTCCGAAATCAAGCCTGACCTAGCCCTAACTAAAATTTGGCATACTCAAGGCAAGTTGGGTTGGTCAATTAAAAAGCCCAAAGCATAAGAGTTAAGCCCAGTCCATACAAAATGCAGTATGGATCGGTTCAGCTAAGGTCAGGCACGCAGGATGTTTTTTCCTATTCTTTGTCAGGCCGAGCCTCTAGTGTTTGTCTGCATGTATATAATTATATAATATTGCATGTACATTTAAATAATTTTATCGAACTCAATAATAATGGTTCAGATGCTCTTGGGCTAGTCCCGATTCTTTGTGGGATTGAATCTAGACTTGTTTTTTAAGGTGTTATTAAGTTATTCGCTAGGTTTTGAGGCTGTGGTCTCCTGCTTTATTTGTATCCGCCTCGTATCGAATTTTTATTAATAAATAATATCTTATTATAGTCAAAAAAAAAAAAATCGAAAACGGATGCAATCCATATCCAATCCAATTATGTAATTGGTCCTTCAGACTCCATTTTGGATTTTTAGTATGTGATTAATTTTTATCAAACCCCTTTGATAAAAACCAATATATTTCTTTATAATGATTTTGCATTGGGCCTTCTTTTTCCTTGTCTTATCTTAATTAAAATAGATGTTTCAGTCATGGTTTTCGAAACTGGACTGGACCGAAAAAACTGAGAATTGGTCAGGTGATTGGTTTCGTTTTTCCCCAAAATCGGTTTTTTACCAAAAATCGTTGATTTGGTCAGTAAATTACTGATCCGGGCGGTTGAACTGTTCGGACCATTCAACAGTTTTAACCATTTTTATTTTTTGTCAGAATGAGCCCGATAATTCGGTTCAAACAGTGGGACTGTTCAACCCAGGAATCGGACCCCTGATCGATTTGTTGTCCAGGTTGATTTTAAAAACCTTGGTTTCAGTATAGGGTAATTACAGAAACATACCTTGTAAATGGGGGGGGGGGGTAGTGATACCAAGGATCTGAATTTTCAAATGCGACATTTTAGTGCCCTAAACTTTAGAAATATATGTTTGAGTCTAATTCTGTTAAAACTAACACAGGTGAGGGCACAATTATACAAATGCCCATATTTCCACTGTTTTTGTCATTCTAGTCAAATGCTTACTTTGCTAGTGCTAGTTTAGGTTCAAAGTTCCAAGGTAGAAGAAGATGAACAGTGAGCACAACAAAATCTAAAGAAAGGCATTTTTTAATCTGGATTTTAAACAAAAAAGAGACCAAAAAAAAAAGCTAAAGTATCGGAGGAGGATTACCAACCCTTTATGCTTAATTAAGATACCCATCAAATCATGGTTGATTGAAATTGAATGGATTTACAGAGTTGCTTAGGGTAGAGATTTGGGTGAGGAATTTTTAGAGGTTCTAGTGTTTTGGGAAGTTGGGAATTTGAAGAAAGAATATGAAGAACATATGAGAGAAACGAGGACAACTGTTGATTAAACGAATCTCATGCTTGTCAATGACCCAGTACTTGAGGTACGTAGTCACTTGGTTTCAATGAACTCACTCCAAAAAATTATAACAGTTGAGCTGGATCAAACCTACTGAACTACTGTGACTCTCTGTGGTATGGCCAGTGCCATAGGTGCACCCTACTCTGTCCCCACCCTTGAATCCCCACAAATGCTTGCTGGTGAGTACAAAAAACCTACTAAAATCATTCCTAATTGTCCATATTGTAACAACTTATTGAGATATTGAAGTCGAAAGAGAATACATATAATACTGAGTCAGCATGAATAAGATGAAGTGTTAAACAATAGTGGCTGGTCATCTAATGGCACAGTGACACTACTCTCTAAACTTCTGAATCCATTTGAAGTTGAAGCGCCATCCCATATGCTGGACGGTACAGCTATGAAGGATTCCACCTGTTGAAGGTTTTGTTGAATCATTGTATGCCCTGCAGACATTCTCAATCCCTCTAACTCAATGGAAACTTCTCTCATTGTGGGCCTTTTCTTGCTATTCAAATTCAAGCACCGTTTGGCAAGGTTAGCAACTACCTCAATATCATCTTTTTCGCCACCTTTGACAACCTGTACATCAAGGATTTCAAAGAGACGGTTCTCTTTTATTGAAGAGATAAAGTAATTGGCCAAGTTTTTCCCTTCTCCTGATCTAGTTGATGATATTGGCTTCTCTCCAGTTAAGAGCTCTACAAGAACCACTCCAAAGCTATAAACGTCGCTCTTGTCAGTGAATTGGTTTGTTTGGAAGTACTCGGGATCCAAATAACCAAAAGTGCCCTGCACTCTAGTTGTTAAATGAGTTTTATCAATTGCAATTGACTTTGAAGTTCCAAAATCAGAAACTTTAGCTCTATATTTATCATCTAACAGTATGTTTGTGGATTTGATATCTCTATGATAAATTGGTGTAGCAGCTGATGAATGCAAATAAGACAATGCTCCAGCAACTTCTATAGCAATTCTTAATCGATTCTCCCATGTAAATATGAAGTCTTCACTTTGGTTATGGGTATAGTGGAAAAGGGTTCCATTTGAGATGAACTCATATACTAGTAGAGGAACTTCAGTTTCCAAGCAACAACCTAACAATTTAACCACATTTCTGTGATTGATTTGGGAAAGTATGACAACCTCATTAATGAATTGCTCAACTTGATCTTTATCCACCTCTTCATCCAATTTTTTGGACTTTTTAACTGCCACAATTCTTCCATCTACTAACATACCTTTGTAAACAGTACCCTGCCCTCCCTGACCAAGAATCCGGTTTATGCTATAGTGATCTGTGGCCTTCTCCAACTCTTCTGCAAGGAAAATCTTTGTTTTCTCAACGTTACTTTCCTCTGAAGATATTTGGTGTTGTAGTAACAAACCACCATTTTGTTTGAAGAAATTCTCTTTCATTTTTCTACTTTTTATTTTCTTATGTAATTGGTATAACCAGAAACTACCAAGCAGTAGTAACAATATTGTGAAGCTCGAGCCAATACCTACACCACCCACAAAAGTCAAAGATCTGGTTGCAGTCTCAAATAACACAAAAGTTATAATAAACAAATTAAATTTAACAAAGTTCAATCCATCTTAACTATATATTATGATTGTTCACTTAAACTTGGATTCAGTTTATGAATTTAAGTGCTAAGCTCATGCTTTGATCTTTAGAAAATAGGCATAACAATTTTGCATGATAAAGCATAACACCCATTCTCATACTAAAAGGAGCTTTGTATATCCATTCTTTTAAAAATATAAATAGGTGTTAATGAAAATTTGCTACAGGTAAAAGTAAAACCTAATAACCCAGGTTTTATGCAAAATTTTGCAATATTCTATTAGTTATAGCAACATAATAATCTTGTATTAAATAACACTATTAAGAGAACGTAAGTAAATCTTAGTCAAAGATTGATGGGAGATTTAGAAAAATTGACTTGTAATATGATTTTTCATTTTCTCTATTGAATCAATTTCTAGGTACTTGGAATTTGACAATTTTGATCTCCAATTTTGCCCCTGAAGCCTTCAATGAACCTTTCAAGTTCCAAAATATCTTTTACCCAGATTAAAAATAAACTAGGAAGCACAAGTAACTGTAGGGATGCAAATAGGTTGGGTTTGAAATGAGATCAACCTAAATCGAACATGACCTGAAACTACTCCAACAAGAGATTGAATCCAACCCTAGTTGACCAAATGAAATGGAAAACAAAACCCGATCTGACCTGGACTAAATATTTCAAAGCTACAACAATATCAATGAATCAAGTTTGGCACAGGTCAACACTGACCTAAACCTGACTGAAAACCTGATCAAGATTGATCCCACCCTTACCTGATAAGGTTGGGTACATGGGGATTCGCTACTTAGCCCGACTCACTTTCATCCCTAAGTAACTCCATGGATAATAGAGGTTGCATTTCATTTATATACCAAAACGATCACCAAAAAAAAATACTATATTCCAAAACATAGCGAGAAACTCATAAAATAAAGTGAAACCTTTCTTGGACCAAAAATGAATGTAGTAAAGTCTAACAATTTAGATCCATGACAAGGAAATTAAGTGTCAACAACCTAAACCACATTCAGAATGTTCTAGAAAACTACAAAAGTTAAAAGGAAAATAATGCTGTTTGAAGATAAAGGTAAAGTGCATATAAGAGATATGCTCAAACTAACAAGCATGGTCTGTTGTGTAGTGCAAGATAGTACGACTTGTATGCATGTATTCTTTGCCAAGTAGTAGTTTGTTGAATGGTAAGACAAACATATATATGAAAGTGTTCTACTGATCAGTCAGTTCAATCAGAGAGCCTTTTTCGAAAGTAAACTAAAATTTTATAAAAGGAAAAAAAATGCAAATATACAATAGGGGCCCAGCCAAACGAAAAAAGAAGGCCACCATACCCAAACTAGCAAATCAACAATCTGAAAAGACAAAAAAAAAAAAGAAAAAAAAAGCTAGCCTGGCCAAAAATCAATCAGACAAGCAAAACTCAAACCAGATATACGCACCAAAATAGCCCACAATCAAAAAAAAAAAAACCAGATCCACATAAATCCCAAATCAAACATACCAAACAACCTAACAAGAAGAACCCAAACTAAACCAACCTAACTTGAGCCAAGACAACCATCTCAAATTGAGTTTCTCCCCTGGCTTTCTCTGCTACCTCTACCACTATGCTTTTTGTGCCTCTTCTACCAGGTTGAATCACATTGTCTGCATAAAAGTCAATGAGTTTCCTTATTTTTCTACTCTCCTGTAGGCCTCCAAAACTGTAGGAATCTTCAAACTCCTTAGTAGAATCCTCCTTGCATTGTTCTTCCTCTAAGCCATACCAAGAAGTTTTGGACTTCCGTCGCCGAGTCCTCCTCCAACATAAAATTTTCTTTTGCTCACTTTTCTCCACCCAAGAAAAACAAACCCAAAGAATTCCCCACATGAACACATGGACATTGTGATCCACATGTTGCTTTAATGGATCTACCTCCCCTTCCTATTCCTCAATAGAGGTGCTTTCACCCTCAACACCAGGTTTCCCAACAGTTCCTTTAGCCACCAACCTAGTAACTTCAGAAGTCATCAGGGACTCACAACCACTATTAACAGAAAAACTTACTCCTCTTTTTAAAGGTGAACCCCCCATCCCCCCACCCC